GGCGGGGCCCTTGCAGAGCCAAGCCCCCCCGCCTGCCGCGGCCGCGCCTGCCGCGCTGCACCCACCTGAGGGCATCCAGCTCCGGCGGCACGCCCCACAGAAACGGGATGCACACCTTGAGCCTCAGCACCTGCGCCGCGCACGCAGACAGAGCAGGCGCCGCGCGTGAGGAAGCACAAGATGAGTTCGGATTGGCCACAGCGGCGGTGCACAATCGTCAGCCTATTGTGCATCGCTGCGAGCCTCAAATGCATGCCGTGGGTGCCTGCACTGCTTTGTTTACGAGTTTGAACACGAATGCTGTAGCGACGCCCAAATCGCGTCCGGACGCACACGAGGCATGCACACAAGATGTGCATGCGTGCCCGCGCTCCCTCCGCGCGCGCCGCCCCCACCTCGTGCACGCCGCTCTTGAGCTGGCGCTCCTGCAGCAGCACCTCCCCCCCGCGGCTGAACACCGTGTCGGTCACCGCCTCCTCCAGGTAGTCCACGGACTGCAGTGACGTCACGGCGCGTCAGCTAGCTGGTCCGTGACCATGGGTGATTGTCGACGGCGGGCAGCCGCAACCCGTACGACGGCGTATGCGTGCAACTACCTCTTACACGCGACCGCGCAGCTGCCAGCAAGCGCTCTGCTGTGTTGCTTCTGACAGGGGGCCGTCCCAAAGCGGAGGAGCCTCTGAGGGTGTGCACCCCACCACCATCATCGCGCCCCCCCCTCACCTGGCAGAATCCCAGGAAGTGGACGCGGCGTGTGGGGTCGCGGCCGTTTGTTGCTGACACTGCAAAGCTCGCGCCGATGCACAGCGTCTGCCAGGGGTTGCATGAGAGGGGTGTTGCAGCCGATGCATGTGGAACTGTGTGCAGCGGCAGCTGGGGATGGGTGGGCTGCGCCAACGCGGCGAGCGGGGGCCGTCAAGAGGCAGGCCTGCGCTCCTTGGGAGGTGCAGCAGCGGGCGCCACGGGGGTTCAGGGCAGGGGCGCGCCACCGCGAGCGGGATGAGGGCGGCCGACGCACCTGTTCGTCCCACGAAGGCATGGGCTGCTGCCGCACACGCCGCGGCCGGTGCGGGCCGCCCAGAACAGCGCCGCCATCGGAGGCGGCGTCCAATTGGATGCGTCGCCCGGGGATCCGGTGGATCGCGCCCTCAGCAGTGAGGATTGTGATGATCTGGAGCAGTGGCACGGTGGTGGTGACGGTTGTGGGTGTTACAAGGCAGGTGATGGATGCAGAGGGCCTGCGGTGGGGCGCTGCAGTGTGCGGGTGGCGGATCGCGCCGGTGAGGTGAGGCGAGGCGAGGCTTGTCCAGCCTAAGCCTGTTGCCACGCACCTCCTGCACGCTGCTGTCAGGGCTCAGCGGGCCGAGGTCGTCCCTAGGAAAGGCCTGCGGCACCAGCAGGTGGTTGATGAACATCGCTGCGTAGCACCACGGCTTGGTAATCTACCGAGCTCGGCAGCGGGGCGGGCGCGCAGATGCGCCAGCGGGCGCTGATGCGCAGCAATTGGCAAGATGGCAGGAACGCACCCGCCGGACGCAGCCCTGGGATCGAGCACAATTCGCGGGCGACCAAGGCGCGCTGGCACTGGGCCGATGGGGACGAAGGCCCGAGCTGAAACTTATCATCGAGAGATCAAGACCTGGGACGCCGATTACAGCTACAAGAGTGTTTTCACGACACAGAAACCAACGTGTGTAAAATATTCATGGGCGCAATGACCTTGAAAAGGTTTTGTGTTGGTCAGCGACGAACTCGTGTCAGGCTCGGAGCCCGCGGGATGGGCATTGCAGCATTGGGTAGATAAGGTACGACAGACTCTGAGGCCAAGTGCCACGATGATGCGTCATGAGCTATCAGCGTACCTTACGAATGCAACAATTGGTCCAGCACCATGAGACCAGCGTTGTTGACTGGTAGGATTTTGGATAAAAATCCCCACGGACAAGGCGTGCTTCATCACTTCTCTTGCCCTCCAATTGCCGCCGTCCTCGCAAACGCAATGCCGTCTTCAAACATCTACAGGTTCGCCATAGCTGCATACCTGTTGACAAGGCCGCGTACTTGCTGCACACCTGCAGGCGCTTTGTAATATCAATATCGCTGTGTTGTGTGTACCGGCACTTCGCTTGATGTGATGCGCATAAACATAGCCTCCAGGGGTCGTGCAGGAACATCGCATGAACGTATATGTCACTGGGCTGCTGTGTAGCATGGGGCATCCCACCATCCATGCCTGCCAGGCGACATCCGGGAGATACAATCGGCTGTCTGGCGGCTGCCAAGTATGCATCTGGTGCAGCGAAGCGTTCAGTGCACGGGCGTAAAGGAACCCCCATGACACAGCCCTCTCTTGCTCCTGGCTTCACCGCGCTGCCGCGCCAGCATCCCTGCCTTCCCATCACTTCCCGCACCCAACACGCTTGTCCTTGAGGAACACCCCCGGGTGCCCATGCTCCCCACTGAATTTCGGCCCAGCCATGGAATGGCAATTTTTACTTTT